CTTTCTAGAAATTTAATTAATATGTAATCGTGCATTTGCGTCATTACATCTTTGTATCTTCAATTCGTGTTATTACGATAATATAACAGCAGCTAATTAATAATAAGCAGCAGTACTACGATCAACATGATAATTACGGTCAGTATATTTCGCTCGTTAAAAAATTGAAGTTTGCTGATGGAAACTTGGATTTTTAACGAGTTTGCTTTCTTTATATGTATAACATTTAGATATCTGTAATTTATTTTTCTGCAACGTTGCAAATAGTGATTTGATTACGCTCTTACTTGTTGATATACTTACTGATTACTTTCTTAGTAAGACCCGGTTTCATCAAAGTTGCTTAAGTTTAAGTTTAGCTTAATTCATCCTGTGTCTCTTTCTAACTGTGCCCTTAGAAAGAGAAAAACTATGAATTAAACTAAGATCAAAGTTAAACGACGTTGGTTGCCTAAAACTGGGCCTAAGTAGAGATCTCAAGAATATATCGCGCTCAACATATATTTTAATCATCTTGCTGTTTAACATTTTGCTTCGTAATGCAGAACGTGTAATCTTACAAATTTTGGAACCATGAATAACATTTCAAGCAAATACAAAAAGGAGAATTCTTTAGTAATGTACAAATACAAATAATATTAAACAAAAATGAAATAATTAATATGTTGTATCCATATTACATTTTGCAATATTCATGACTCATGTTGCGATATTAAAACTACACTCAAAATCAATCTCATGCGTAGCTGTCATGTTGAACATAAATTAATATTTGCTTATATGTATAAATGTTGGTAATGATAAGCATGTAACAACATAATTATAGCTGTATTAAAATACAATTACGCTAAACACAATGCAATCATTCAGATCAATCGATCTAGATTGATTCTTTTTTCGTGCGTTGAATTCTTCGATTCATAATCAATACTCTTGTCGTTCTGATATTGATTTTTCTTACATAATGTTATTTTTCTTTGATCTGATAAATAAAATAATATTGAACTTACACTTTTTAGTGGAGATGCAATAACAAAATATAAAATATTTATAAGCGGATAATATTTTGGAAAAATGTAAGTTGCACAATGCAAACAAAATAGTACCATAAAAACAAAAAATTATTTTGTACCTAAGTATATGTTTTAAAATCGAACTTAATAAATTCATCTGCCAAATAATTTTTATAAAATTTATAAGGAAAATAATATTTAAATACAAGAGAAAATATGGCACTATTTCTTTAAACACTAGGTCACAGAATTATGTAAAATTTTTCTATCTCGTCATTATTTTTTATCACTCACATACAATCGTTATATCATTATATTATTTAATTTATTTTTTATTATTTATGAATTGTATTTCTTACGCATCTTGGATATAAAACATTAAAGTGTTAATAAATCGATCTTTGTTGAAATAAATGAGAAAGCATCAAATATGCATAAAAAAGAAGAGAAATTTTCAATCACTTACGAAAAAAATTTCTGAAAAATATAGTGAAAATGTAAAAATACCTAATTCATTCCAAATTATAAGATATAATAAAATTATAAATTTATTTCCAAATATGTGACTGTACAAATATGTATATAAATTTATAAATAATTATAAGACACATGTAAATGTTAAAACCAAATTAAAGATTAATGTTTTTATAATCAATAATCATTTTCCACATCACATTCTTTGAAATAATATACATTGTCACCATAATCTTTTACTCGTTTAATTGGAAACGACGTTTTATCTCCTTAAATCTGTCTTTGTAAGTGCTGTAAAATGAACTTTATCCTGCTTTCAATATTAATTTCCGGTAAGAAACGGTGACTTTAAAATATATTTACTTTTATTCCAAGTGACAAATGACTAGAATTCAATCTCTCCTATGAGAGACGATAGTTTCAATCCCTTCACAGGATTGCGTCGAGAAATTCGTAATATGATTGAGTACTTGAAGCGTACAGGTAAACATCATAACATGGAAATCAATATTCGCACGTGTAACAAGTTTATTAACAGCAACGCGGAATCTCTAATTCCCTAATCGTCAAGTTCCAAAATTTCCTAATTGTTCCAAATTCACATTAAAGAAATATTAATGTTTCAAAGTAATTTTCATATTCTTCCTTTGCCTATGAAAAGAACTGTTAGGCAAGAATATATATATAGATGACTATCAATATGCGAAATCAGACGAGAATTTCTTTATGTTGTTTCAGAAATAATTCAAGGATAGAACAGATCATTATAATGTAACTTTACTGCTTTTTCACAACAAACTTGCGTCTTGAATCTGGATCATAAATAATTCTATTTGTATTTTTGTAACTTTACATTTATACATTGAGTACATATTTATTTATTATATAACATATAATTATCTATATCTACTTTTTTTGTACATTTATACAAAACGTGTTTGAAAAATGAAAAGTCTAAATTCTTCAATAAAACATCGACTTTTCTCCCTGTTTGTTGTTTTAACAGTAAAAATTCTTAAATTATGCATGCTAAAATGACTCGAATACGAAGCTGCGCGTTGTTATCCTTTAAACATGCCGAGAATTCCAAGCTTTGTACCTACATGTTTGACATTAAGAAAATGTAAATGTTTGTCTGTCAAAATTAAATTGTAAGAAACAAATGCTTCTAATTATCATCAATTATAGAATAGAGCTCTACATGAAAGAGCTTTCATTCCTTGATGTTTCCAGATAATTTAAACAATAGAATAACGCGTACAGATATTTGCTACAAAAGACTTTAATTCGATCTAAATACAGATGCTATTAATAGCAGAATATTAAAATCAGAATGCAGAGTTAAAAATACGAACATATCTACCTCAGTCTTAATTATTATAATACTATAAAGTATAACTTATATATATGTATAGTATATTAGTATAATATTATATAAATTAAAAGAATATTCCAAAATTATTTTAAAAGAATAGGATACTTGAACCAATATTAAGGCATAAATATAAATATTTTTTATAGGAAACATTTACTGTAAAGAAAATATATTTCATCACGTATAATTTTACTCACGCGAAGGAAAATCTAGAATATCTTTCACCGTAAATCTATCTTCAGATAAACGTTTCTGAAAACATTTTATATTTTTGTCGCATGGATTATAACGACGCCTCTAATTTATCGGGCGATATCGTCAGACATATGTCGCAATTTCCCGCCTCTCTATACACCCACTGATAGCGATATCAATGGCCGCGCAAAAAGCAGATTCCGCGCGATTCACGATATGTCGATAACACACACCAAGTAGCGATTATAAACAGCGAGCAGCAGGAAGCGGCAATGCACACACGTCGATCCGTAAAGATGAATGGTGGCAGTTGGTTATGTAAGCCGTGGGGAGTATTTATACGTCGGTCCAAAATAGTCGACAAACCGCATTCGAAGGTGGCACGTTTCTCTGATAGCATATGGTTGTCGACACACTTTTTATCAAAGCAACAATATCGAATCATAATTTTAAAAAACTCATGTTTGATGAATTAAGGGACGCTGATACGATATTTAAATACCCTACCCATTTCCTTTAAAGAAATCGACGACGATTTATTGTACATTTTGATATTCATATTATGTATTATTTCATATTTACTAATTGTAGAACGATTGATATTTCTTTTTAGCTAAGGCGCGGGTTCTGTTTAATTTTATTCCAAACCGATTGATAAATATGCTCTTTTTAACTTTTTCCATATATTGCAGTAACGCCTTTAAGGAATCGCATAAACAGGTGCAAACTATTTCCAGATTTGTTGATGTTTCGGATTACATATGCTTGCCTTGATGCTCTATTCGTGTGAATAGCATACATGGTCGATCGCGGGGAACCCAATATTTCAATGTTTACTTATCGAGATTTATGACAACACATGTGGGAAGAAACACTCTTCTAACTGATACCGCGAGTGTTATCCCGAATTCCAAGGCTCCACAACTTCAACAGTAATGAATCCAGCGAAAAGTTTTAATTAAAAAAAAAAGAACATCTGCACCTTTATATTTTCTGACAACGTGCAAGTCATGTGAAATTTCGTGATCAATTAATACTAAAATTCTGTTTTAGTAATACCGTTTCACATGTTGAATTTTCCAAAATTATGATAAAAGCACAATAATTGTATATTATTCAGTTATTCAGTAAACTAATTTAATGTGTGTGTAAATATATATAATAATGTTGTACATGCGAATTGTCATAATAAATCATGCATGTGCATTGAGCACTTAGCGGTATCAGTTAAGTGGAAGATATAGCCGTATATGTACAAACGTGTGAACATTACCTAAGTGGTTAAAAGCTTTACAGCAAAGGAAACATTATATAATAGATCCCAAAGAGCAGTTTGCTAAACTTATAATTTTGATACACATAATTGTTGTTTTAATATGTAGATATTCTTTGATAAAGCAAATATTTGATTATGTTTAATCTTTCTCTTTTTATCTTTAAAAATGAAAAATTAATCCCCCCCCCCATTCTCTTTATATCTTTACTTACAATTAATTATGATTATCTTAGAAATTAATCTTCTAACATTGACAAAAATTTTAACTATTACGTATATCTGCAAAATTGATTAATGGCTAAATTAATTTTAGCAAAAAACACAATAATAAACATTATAAAGACTTCAGGGAAAACTCAAATATACTTTTTAATTTTTAACATATCATTTTTTAATATAAAAGTACATGAAAGAAGAAAAATATTTTAATTAATGTGCGACGAATTAAAATTCTTTATGATACAGAGCTATCATTATGCTTTACATATATTATAATATACAATATAAATTTCGAAACAAAACGACACGATATAAAATAACATGTCTCCTCGTGTAAGACAAGCGGCACGAAAACAACTTATATCTCCAATAGCATACGGATTAGTTTTATACGTGTACAACATCAATGTGCAATTTGGAACCGAGGTTCTCTAGGAAGGGAACTTACCGGGATTTGATTGAGATTGATGTCTGATTTCTCCCTGTTGGGGCAATTTGCAGCGTAACCGGGCTCCTGGTTGAATCGCCTGCCAAACTTCAAGAGATTCCTCATGATCATGGTGTTCATCACAATGATAAGTACGAGCGGCACGATCAGACTCGCTATACTGTCGATAATGCTAATGATCTGCATAGTCTCCAGGTACTCGATCTTCAGTTCGCATACCTCGTCGCCGCCCTGGTTCTTCACAACCCCAGCGGTGACGAAGGAGTATGAATGGCTAACCAAGGCGAGAATTGTTAACACCAGAATGATCGTCTTTGCACGCGCTACGGTACACATATGCGGCCGATGTAGCGGATATTGAACGGCGATGAATCTCTCGACGGTGAAGGCGACGATCAGCCAAACGCTGAGTGAACTACAAACTGCGCTGACGTACACCAGAGTTTCACACCAGCCATTATTGTTGAAGACTTTCCATCCAATTGTACTGTTAAGCCACACGAGAAGCAGAGACATGAGGAAGCTAAAGTCGGTGGTGGCTAACGCCGCCAAATAGTAACTGGAGCTACGTAGCTTTAGATGCGTCTTAAGAAAAACCACGCACGACAACAGGTTGCCCACCAAACCCAGCAAGATGATAGACGGTATATAGTATATATGGCAAAAATCTAGGAGAAAGTAGAGCGAGGTACAAAAGCTGTCCGATTCCTCATCTAGCTCGAAAATCGTCTCGAAGCTGTGATTTTGATAATCGTAGAAGGTTTGATTCGACCAGGCTGTCGGTGATGCCGATCTTCGAAGTCGCGACAGGCCGTCGATCGTCGTCGGTATCTGATGACATCCCAAAGTTTTACTCGACAGTTTTTGAAACACGAACATGATTGCTCTCGGTCCAGAGATTATATTGACAGAAATCTTCCCTCGATGCTTGTTGCTTCAGGAAACTGTTCAGTCCGCGCACTCGGTCACGATGTACAAAAGGCATCAGCGAAAAATGCAATATTATTGGCTATTCTCCAGACTCGTTATCGTGACGTCGTTGATATAAACCAGACCGGTATGGATCACAGTGTTGTATGGAATGCTCGAATCGGATGCAACAGGCGAAATGATAGTCTAACGGGAATTCCCAGTTCTTCCTCGGAACGCATAATTCACGTTGAAAACCTGTTGGATAAGGGCGCATGTACTACGCATCTCATGAAAACTTGTCAAAGTCATTAATAATACCGTTGACTCAAACGACAGTATTCTGCACAGAATCGCGTCAAGTCGTGCATGATGAATATCATAACAAATTGTTCGACAGAGATTACCTGCTCTTTCTTCAATGTCACACGAAAATCAGTTAGCGGTAAGTAGCAAAGGATCAATGAAGTTTCTCTAAATTTATAGGTAATTAATAGATTACAATAATATTATGACGTTATGGACAGACTGAGAATTGTTTAGACGTGTGATTCGCGTCAAAGTCTAGTATAGATCTCACTAGACTAGTTAATATTTAATTAAACTGTTGAAAAAAGATTCATAATTAAACTAAAAGACTATTTAATCTAACACATTCGATTGCAACGCGGTCGCATTCCGCTACGGACAAACGCGTAATGGTTGGAAGTTTTCCAACGTTGCAGACACCGTCGGTTGAGCGCAGGATTGCGTTTAACTGTTCGGACATTCGTTTTCGTTCAATGAATATTTTTTTCTGTCTGTACGTCCATTTGGGTGACATAATGGTCATTTACGTTTTATAAGTTTCATTACATTGAATTTAATCACATTCGCAGCAGCACGCAATTGAACAATGCAGTTTCACGCGCGTGCATCTCGCTCGATAGATTCAATTTGCGTTTAACCGCATATTTGTTCGCTATTTAACTTATTTTTCGAATTCCGCAATAATTCATTCATATTCATTTTGTTTCATCAAAGCGTGCGCTAATTCAATCTTGTGAAAATTGCGGATCCATTATATATTTACGCCAGTAATTAAGCTCAATATAATACTTTAAGTTATTCAATCGTGTCTTAATGCTGGCGCTTTGATGGTAAAATATAATTTTAATATTGGTTAATTTTGTATCCGTATTAATTCCATGTTAAAAGCTGAACAAGATGTAAGTTCACCGAATGACTCGCAATTCGAGTATATAGCATCAAAAGCAATTATTGAAATGGATCTAAATGCGAACGGATGATTATTTATGCGCGCAAAATTTCACATAATATATTTTTCTAATAGAACCTTTATGCATTCCTCCTAACGTGCCGTATTAATAAGAGGAGAAGCGCGTCGTTGGTTCTTAGCCGCCGTTCAATACAATTCCACGCGTTTTCATTAACACGGAAAAAGAGAATGCGTCGCATTAACAGTACACTTAATAGCTTTCCATAATTGATTTCTTAATTGAATTGTCTATTTTTCTCTACTTACGCGCGCGATTGATTGTAAATCGATACGCTTTAAACGCTGTTCTTGCAGCGTGTAATATATTTGATCGCGAGATAAACGCGGAAGTGTGGTAGAGTTGATAAACAGCGTGCACGTTTCCGCAAGAATGCAATTTTATTATATACCTCACTTCGTTACTCGTTCAGCCTTGACTCGAATAGATTCCGAATCTCTAGTATACAGTTTGACTCGACGATTGTAATTTACGAGGATTCAACAATTCTACCGCCTCCAGATGTCACGCATAGTGAAAAGACGCAGTGGTATTGATTTATATTCGCACTGTTACACCTTTTAACATAGTTGTTAAATATTAAATTCTCATATAAATATATATTTTTATCTCTTGAGTTTGTCAGATTATATTACTATTGTGTTATCGAGCTATTATTAAAGTCGTACTACGTTAACTTACCACTTAATTTAATTGTATAATCACTAATTCACATGATATCATTTAACACAGACAGTATACTCTCTTAATAACTCTTGAATAGAAAATATATTCTTTGTAATTTTAAACGAAGCAGATATCAGCGGCACTTTTAATGTTATATGCCACAGGGAATAAGACCTTTCGTATTATCCGATTTTCTATACCCACTTTTATCATTAATTCTGGCTTTTCCTATCTTCCCATTCGTCACACGCGTAGAAAATTCACACAGACGGAGATTGAGGATGTAATATATCTTCCTGATGTAGCGGTGCTGCACAGCATTATCGCTGACATTCAAGGATCTCACCGTCACTTTATCTGGCGATATTTTTTCATAATTTGGTTGAAATCCCACAAAAGGCTTTCTCGTTCCTCTCTGTCGATCCTTAATCCCTCTAATCGCTGAAACTCCGATTTCTTTTTCCTGATACTAAAATTGTACGTTCTATCAAAATCTCATTAAAAGATTTCCGATCTTCAAATTTTCTCGTTACTTTGATCGTGACTGGAAAATACAATATGCCCTGTGATTTTCGTTTAGATTAAAGGAGGATCGCAAAAAACGCTCGGAAATGTACGCGTCATTTGTCACTGGGAATTTTCTGCCGCTTTTATCGATACAATAGTCGAACTATCAAGTTTATTTAAAGCCTCAATTAAAAGACCTAAATTTTGGAACAATCCGACAAAAATTGCGCAGAGTTTGCATTTTTTTTTAAATTTATCTCACGGAATATTTAAAAACCTTTTGATTACTCCGTCCCATCGGTAATTAAGCTTTTATATGGAATGAGCGCTCCAGCGAGAGAGGCTCCGAGTTTTTAAACACGATCCACCGAACGTCACGCGGAAGGTATATTGTGCAATTTTTATGATTAATTAAAACCGTCAAACGTAGGAAAATGTACGCGTCGTGCGTTCAGAAACGTCGTCGGGTAAACTGGGGGAGCGGACCACGGTGCGAATACATCTGTGCCAGCCGAAAAGTTTCGCCGCATGCGCTTTGTAGAGATCCTGCCGGCGTCTCGACGGACGCCGCTGACATCGACGTCGCCAGCATCGTTGGGGTTCACGTTATACGTCTCACGGTTTCGAGGGAATGATTGCGAGGGAAGGGCGTATTGTGCTCTTTAACTTTAGATAGGTTGATAGAAAATCACCGTCGCATCTTTAATTTGAAAGAGACTGCAAAGTTTTCGTAAAGACGAAAAGGAAATTATGGGGTGATTTTCGATATGCGAAGGAATTTAAAATTGATGTAAGAAGAGAAAATGTTTTTATAAGTTAAAAACATGAAAAACATCTTATTTGAATATCGATTCGAGATAAATCGATTTTTCTTTTTATAAAGTCATAAAGGATTCCGCACCACGATCTACGTGAAATTTTCTGACGTCTCTATTGTACAAGAAGTCGAAAATGACCTGAATAAATTGTTGAAAACTTCAATAGGTTTTGTACTATAAACCGATAAAATTCCATCGAATTTTAAGACTAATAGTAGATAATATTCATTTTAATTTAATGGAATTTTAATCTATAATCACGTTAGGTTTACTAAAATATTTAATATTAAAATTTCTTAAGTGAGAAAAATATTGTTTTCTATATCACAATTTCTTGCTCAAATTAGATATTGCAGGAATTGAAATCAAATCAGATCGCTGTATTTTTCATGTAACTGATAAATTTTAACTTTCTTACTACGATGAACTTTGACACATCGTCATTCTAATCGGTTCTATATGAATGTATTATATAATACAATAAGTTTAAATATAATACGTTTATCAAACATTGAATATATCTAACAATGCAGAAGTTATTATTATTGCATTAGTAAACGTTAGAAAATGCTCAATTTTTTTACAAACTTGAGAACTGATTGAATCTATTTCGCTGGCAACGTCAAATAAATTTTGAGATTTATAAATGACAGATATTCAATAATTAACGAATCTTCTTTTAGAAAGGAAGAGAACACACAAATGTTTGTGTCACCCGATTTTATCGACTAATCCTCACACCGGAAATAAAATTACTCGTGGAAACGACAACCTCTTCATATTCCAATTTTTGAACTCCACGAAAACAAAGTCTCAAGGCATACTTGTCTATCATAATTTTATCAGTTTTAAAAAGGTTTCAGCAGTCTAACATTATAAGTGTTATTAAAAAAATTAAGAAAAATGTAAAAATACGCTATTTTAATATCGCTGGGTTTTAAAGGGTAATATTTTAATCAATATGTTTGTTTAACGTGTTTACGTAACTTTATTTAGCTGGCACGATTTCAATCATCTTTGCAATCAACCCTCACTACGTTACTTTTCTAATTTGATGGCTTCGTTAGTAATGTAATTTTAGTGCTACGCTGTTGAGCAACAACAGTTAGCTAGCTTCTGTATGTGCCGCAAACTACATTTAATCAATATAAATTATATTATATGTAATACGTTTAATAAAAAGATTAATATATAATTAAATTTGTACGAGTAGTGTGTAAAAAAAGAAAGCACTTTCGGTTTTATACCTTACAAAAAATGGCTTTAAATAAAAATGTGTAATAGCAAAATACATATACATTTTATATCTGATTTGCGTGATTATGTGAGATATAATAATATGATATTATGTTATTTCACTTTCTGCACAATTTACCGCAATGCAGAAATAGATACGACTTTACACCAACTTTGTACATAACACAATTCAAACCGAATTTGGAACAGCTATAGCATAATAAACGTAGTATAAACTATTTGGCAGTTAGTGTGTTGCTGAGGATTCCTATTTCCGGATTATATCCCGCATTCAACATTTGATTTATGTAGACATTTGTCTCGGGATTAATGCTTTCGGTTTACAAATACTCTAGCTTGGCTTATATCGGCTTTAATTTTGACTAGTATCAGCAAAGACAATAACATATTAATATAACTTTCTCAGATATTAAACAACTTACAAATTTTATAATATTGTGATTTGATCTTTTTCATTTCTATGGAATAAAAATAGAGATTTTGACGGGAATAGTTATTAAATAATATCTGGACTTTTTCAGTGTTACAAAGTCCTAAAGCACACATGCACATGTTTGAAAGGTCAATTACAACCAAATAGCAAACCGTTTACGACAGTTATCACGTATGCATTGAATCCGAAGGCTATAACAATGGGCCAACTATATGGCGAATATGATTCCGATACACACGAATGGTAAGTAATATTTGCTACTATCAAATAGGAAATAGTCAAATGGTCAAATTATAGAATTTTAGGTTACCCTTCTAGTTAGCTATAATCATACTCTGCTTTATGTGCTAAGATCATAAATTTGCAAACTCTTGAACTTTTAAAATTTTTAAGATATACGACATCAAATAACATTTTTCACTTAAAACACAATTTTTTACTAAACTTTTAAATGTAAATTGTATGACATTGTAACCCACCATATTTATAATAGTAGCACTGAATAGGCAAATTTAATCTACATTTTATGCCAAAAGTGCAAAAAACTTCCTACTGAACTGATTTCCTTAATCTTTGACTAACTTTAATTTAAATACTCTTAATGTCTATTATATTATAATTGAAGTACTTTATATCTGCATTAATTCAAATATTGATTGAAACTTAACAAACTTAACAAAGATTAAATATTCATTTGCAGAACGTATTATTATACATACATTTGCATACAGATCTGTAACGCATAGCCACAGCTACTGCAGCATTTACGATCGATACTTTAACACAAAAACGTTAAACTTAAAATAAATATTTCATTTCTTGACTCTTTTTACATTTAAAACAATAGCTGAATATTTTAATTATTTCCAAATATCGTTAAACATGTAAAGTAAAAATTAAATTTGTCATAATTATTTAAATATAGAACATTTTTAAAAATTGAAAAAAATTTTGTATTTTTAAACTACTACAATACTTTTATGTGCATGTGTTTATACATATAGAAAAAGTTAATATATATTTTATACATACACGATTATATATTTATCATTAAGGTAAATACCTTACATATATAAAAACACACACACGCACAATTTACATTTATGTTTTAACAATTCATTTTCATCTCAATTAAAAGTAACAAAATATAAGTTAAATAAATGATCTGTTACATTTATTAGTAGAACCTTTTACAAGAGATAGCAGCCTTTGTTACACACACTAAAGCTTCGAGTTTATTGTCACGAATCAGACAAAATTTCTTAGTTGAAATCTTGTTTTATCCGTTTGTTCCCGTTTGAATCATTTCGAAAGAAGTTTATTACGATTCTCGTTTCCATTAAGTTTATTTAAAATAAAGAAGAGTAATAAAAAAGAAAAAAAATTATCGAGATATTACCGAGACCACAGTCTGCACGCTAATCGATACCGTTAGCATGCTTGGTTTTTGCTCGCTTTATATTTTAGAAAATTATATTATCGAAGTTTTTTCGTCAAGTTTGCAAAAAGAAAAATGAATCGTGAAATCCACAAGACGATAATAACTTAATCGTGAATTTTGATAACTTTTTTAGTACAAAATTTAATAAGCTATTTGCTAAAATACATTTATATACTCGTATAATAATCAATCTTCCTTTAATCATTAACTTAATAAATATATGTATAGAAATATTAAAGAGACAACTAGTTATGTGTTTATACCTATGTATGCATACATAACAATTTAGGCCTTTACTTATTAATATATAAAAGCCTGTAACACATCGATAAAGCAAGAAAATCTTTAAAATAGACGCAAAATTCGGAATATTAAATGCCTCGCACGTTCGATTTGTAGGACAGACGGAATATTGCCAACTTTAATACGAGCGGATATAGCAGCAGCGGATGGTGATAAACGTTGGTATATTTTTGATGGACCAGTCGATACAGTGTGGATCGAGAATTTGAACACTGTCCTGGACGACAATAAAAAGCTTTGTCTCACGTCGGGGGAAATAATGAAATTATTGCCGACTCAAACTATGATATTTGAAGTATCAGATCTGCGAGTAGCTTCACCAGCTACAGTTTCTAGGTAATGAAAAACTAGTTTAGTAAACTTTAAATAGTTTCTGTCGTTGTAGTATAAAAACAAATAATATCAATAATTTTCAACATTGCTACAAACATATCTTCTTGCCTTTAACATTTTCGTTTTAAGCGCTGAAATATGTCCTGTTAAAAACAACATAACTGCAAAGATTTTTATTTTCGTGAAATATTCAGATCATATAATGTTTTATTAAATTTATCTGTTCTGTTTTAAATTGATGGTAAAGCTTATAATGATTAATAACGACAATAAGAATTACTACAGCTTTTATTTTCCACGCGATTTAAATGTGAGCATATTAATTCTGATTACTAATGAGTACTAAAGAAATTGATAGAGAAAATCTGACAGAATAAAATAACCATTAATAACAAGATTATCAATAAAATGCGACGAGTAATTATACAAGTTAAGATAAACATACATTACATATTTCTATTTTAATATCAATATATTATAGATGTGGTATGGTGTATATGGAACCGGAAAATTTAGGTTTGCAACCTTTAATTGATTGCTGGATACGGTCATTACCAATGGTAAATCAACATTTCTGTTATAAAATGGTTGTGTAATAATATAGTACAAATAAATAAAAGACTTTAACTTAATTGTTTTAACATATAATAATTTTATTTAATTAAAATTGTATAAAATAAAATTTGTAATTTGAACTTTGAGTTAATTTGTAATAATGTTTGTAATTTAAATATTTTCCAATTCCTAAATCAATT